GGAAACTTTCAACTTTTTCAAAATATTTCATACTTTTTGAAATATTCAGCTTTTTAAACTCTTTTTTTAACATGGAAGTCAATGGGAAGAGCCTTCAAATAAGCCAATACTTTAGCTATCCACAACTTCATTTTACTTTCAGCTACAGAAACCATTCAACTATTAAACTATTCAGCCTTTTCAGCAATTGATTGGNAGACATATTTTTTCATGAAAAACTTAGGAAAACCTCTCCTAGGTTGTAAAATAAAAAAAGATTTAGAAAAAAAATTAAACAAAATGCCTCTTGAGGGCAATGCCCTCAAGAGGCATTTTGTTTAATTTTTTTTCTAAATCTTTTTTTATTTTACAACCTAGGAGAGGTTTTCCTAAGTTTTTCATGAAAAAATATGTCTGAGGAGTGTAGGGTTTGGGAATTATGGCAAGTTTAAAACATTTTTGGGGGATAATTTCAACCACTGCTCCACTCTGTTTTGAGATCAAAGCACTCTAGACTTAACGAGCTGCTCCATCCACTTTAATGTTAAAATCTGAAAAAGGCCTCTCTACCAAGCTCCAAACTAAGTTCAATATCTCAAAAAGTGTAAAAGATATCAAAAATTGTATAGCTGACGGTCTTGTGATCATTTGAAAGTTGGAATGAAGTGTCTACCTGAAATTATGTGGAAGGAGAAGCATTTGGCGCAAAGTGTAGCAAAAGTGGATTTGAAGGCATCTCCCATTGACTTCAATGTTTAAAAAGCTGAATATTTCAAAAGGTGTGAAATATTTTGAAAAAGTTTCCAATCAATTGCTGAAAAGGCTGAATAGTTTAATAGTTTAATGGTTTCTCTAGCTGAAAGTAAGCTGAAGTTATGGAGTGCCAAAGTATTGGCTGAAATAAGAGGCAGAATAAAGATTTGAAGAACTATAGTGGAATGCTGTAAACAGCATTCGCACTAATTATCATATTAACTTAAGTATTTCATCAGTTAAGTTAATAAAAAGTGGTTTGTAACAATACATTTTCATACAATTCAGTTGTTAATGGTTACCACAACTGTCTTATCCGGCCCTTTGAACATTTATCCATCACTTAAAGCTATTATTTAAACTATTTATGCATTACTTTGGGCAAAGTATTTTTATTATTCATCCAATTATTTTAATAAACTTGTCTTTCAAAAGTTTATCAATATTTTTTGCAAGTTTTGTCAACTGTATAAATGACTTATAGATTATAAATTCAACTACTTATACAATACTTTAGCTATTTATTTAAAAATTCAATCCTTAAATTTAAGCTAACAATTGAAACAATAAAACCATTACTTATAGCTATATGTTTCATCTAATTCCTTATTATAAATCTAACCATTTGGATGACTCTTAGTTAATAATTTCAAATTGTTACCCTCTCTTAACTGAATATTTATTGAATATAGCTTTTTACGTTTTTATTTTTGATTTGTCACTTCCCAAATCATTTTAATGCAATTTATGTAGCAATAAGTGTTTGTTGAAGGTGTAATCTTATTCGAATTTGCATATGCTTTTAATAATTTATCATTTCAATTTTGTTCCCACATAGTTTAGCTACTTCACAATTCCCTTAGTACCCCTTAGTTAAGGATCAGTGTTCTGGGGAAGCATTTAGCACATGTAACTTTTACAGTTGAATTGATCTCTAGTGCTGAGGTCATGGCAGATGGCTGGGTCTTTAATACATCTTATTATTCACTGTCAAGATGTGACAGCAATGTCTTCCGCCTGCAGAGCACTCACTGCTATATCCCTAAACAATGAAGTCAACGCTCTCCGGTGTATGAATTATAGATGGCCCCGGCCGAGCTGCCCCTCTCAGTGTGTGTAAATCTGACAGTGTGGGTGTGTTTGCGTGTGAGCTCCTGAGGAGGCAGTGAGGCAGATAGAAACGGCTAAAAAAATTATGAGCCGTGTCGTCATCACCTTCCTTCCTCTAAATGGGCCGAGAGGAAGAAAGCGAGGAGGCGGGGGAAGGCTTCCTATGATATCATCAAAATATACACATGTGACCTGTTCGGCTCATACTCATTATGTTACTGAAACTCAACCCACCAATCTATTCCCACTTTGACTAATCAACCAAATAATGGATATCTTTTTAAATTGAATGTCACATGATGACCACAATATGTCTTAACCATAACAAAAAAAAGAGAAAAAGTTATACGGTATGTATTTTTATAGATCACATCTGGTGGGTCTCTGTTCCAAATAGCCATCTTAGTTTATTTAAGGTGAACATAGGAATTTATGACTTACTCAGAGGCTAATTTCAAAGCCTTCTTTGTAAACAATAAGCCTTGTTTTTATACTATGGTTTTATAAAGTTACTTATGAGTAACTATAACAAAAGGATACATACTTAATTTTTTAAGATTTTGGGTTTGCTTTAAACTATCATCAGTAACAGTAGAGGCGTTAGAAAACAACAAATAAGAAATACAAAGTTCTCAAAGTGTTTCTGACCACCAAGCGAATGTGAAACCAAAGAGCACTCTTCTCTCCACAAACTCAGAGAACAAAAAGGATTGGCTGGTGAAAGTCACACATTCCTGCCCATCGAGTCACTAATTGGGATTTTTGATCAAAACAGTGGTTTGCCAAAAACTGATTAGAACCATAAGAAAGAATCAAAACAGTAAAGTTTGTTGGTTGTAAAATCTTAACAATGAACTGAAAGATGCTATAAATCTCAGTAGAGCTGAGGGAAAGGACAGAGCGAATTCTCTGGAAGTTAGTTCATCACTAAAACAAACCCCTTTCACATACAAGTAAGTAGTCAGTTGATCCATTGTTAATATGAAAATACTGATTATAGGTGCTCAGGAAGAACCAAAAGCTTGAAAACAACAACTATGCCTATTCTATTATTATATTCATTTAAATCAGTGGATTTAATGGTCCCAGTTTTTATATTGTGTGTAGTATTTGCATGCTAACATTATCATTATAAATATACATAAATGAATTGTGTAATATGTGGAAATACAGGAGTCATATAGAAAATAAGACTAGGTATTTTTTGGCAAAAGTTTGCCTTGTTAATCTGAAACTTCATGGTCAACAGCAGTGGAAATCTGGTACTGACCAGGTCGGCCACAGGGGATTTCTTGCGGTTCTGTTTCTCCACCTCCACCTGCATCTTGGCCATGGGTTTGGCCATAGCCAGGGCCAGCTTTGCCTCCGCTTGCAGCTTCTTCTGTCGACTCACAAAGTCCATGTCCTCCAGAGACTCAGAGTCGTCCTCTGTGGTGTCCCTGTCCGAGTAGGACGAACTCTGCTTGGACTGCAGGGAGGACAGAGGAGGAAGAGAGGGTGGAATTAAATATGGAGAAGACAATGAAAAGGAAATGAGAAAGAAAAGGAAAGACAAGAAAGGTCAGAAGATTAATATTTATGTATTCTTTGCATTTTCTTATGTAGATTTGACAGGAACGTCAGTGATGGGATGTGAGGAGAGCGCAGATGAACATGTAGGGTGGTAATACGTCTCCTCTTCTCCCCCTCTTTCTGTTAAATGTGTCTCAAGCTGGTGGGAGGTTAATGTGTGCAGTCATCCACGGCGAGCATATTCCAGTTCACCTCTCATTTGCTGTTGGTGAATTGGTTAACGGGCCAGAAAACATGATCAAAGATATTCATAGAGCAACCAAACCACAATCTATCCATGTGATTCATAATGAATACCTCCCCTGTTTCAGTCTAAATTTCACTTCCTTACGGTCATATCTCTACCCTTTAACCCTTTGACACAGTCAGCCCTGTAAATCAAAATTCCCAATTCATAGTCATTTCAAGATTTAAGTATTTATTTGAAATCTTGAATTTTGGATAAATGCTATCAAAACTCAGTGTAGGCTTCAAAGTGCACAAATGGACACGGTGCATACCATGGGGGACAGAGGAGTGTCCAGACTGGTCTCTGTCTTGCTGTCGTCTGCATCGCTGTCCTTGTCGCTGCCGCTGTCGTTGACAAAACAGATCTGTAGGTTCATCCCACTCTGAAGCCTGCAGGGAGAGATGTTCATATTAGCATACATGCAGATAAGAGTCACGTCAGGTCACAGTGGGCTCATTCTGCAGTCATCGACTCGGACAGCAACGTTCACAGCTCAGCAGCCAATACAAATGACCTATGATGAGTTCAACAAAGTGCTTTGCCTCGATAAACGATTTAGAGTATGCAAAGTGAGCTGTGTACGCTATGAAGTAGTGATAAAGAGAGAAAAAAATGGAAAACAAATCCTAACAAACACAAGCTACCTTCACCACCAGAGCAAAGTGTTGGCGGAGGATAGAATTAAAGAGGGCTTTTGTTTTTAATCATCTCCCCTCTTTCTTCAATAAAGATAGATCCAGGAAGCCTCCGGTAGGTCTGATCCAATCTGCCTGGGACCGGTGGGGGTGTCTTTGTGCCACAAAGCAGCAGAATATCACTAAGTGTAGATCCAGCCCTCTGTGGATCAATAATCTGCTTATTCAATGCAGTAATTACAAACAGAGGTGATTGATTACACAGCATCCAATCAGTCCTCGTTAAAATACGGCCTGAGAGGTTTTGTTTGGGGTAGCAGCATTAAAAAACCTCCAACACAACCTACAAAATGATGATGCATATATCAGCAGTAGTATTGGTCAATATGCTATCCGATAAGTAGAAATAATCTGCAAACAGAAATACCACAGATTCTATTAAGATAATGTTTGGGCTTTTTGCCTTTATTAATATATGAAGATAGACAGGAAAGTAGGAGAGAGAAAGGGGACTCAGTCTTGGTACATGAGAACTTTATCTTTTAACTATAATTCACTCAGTACATATCTTGGTGTGTACATATCTTTACAACCACACTCAAAAATCCAGAATCAGATGGGCTCTGATACAGTGTGTCAGTAACGTTGGTAACCCAGACAAAAATTGCACAAATTACTGTCATCTTACTTTTTCCAAGTACTAATCAATGAGGCTTTAACCACCACTATCAGTCATAACAGCGCTATTGAGGAATCCACGTGATTCAAATCACAGGAATACAAAGAGCACTGGAGTGTTTACAGTACATCTAGTTCCAGTAACTTACAGTGTAGGAGGTGGTAGTAGCGGCTTTGTGTGTGTGTGTGTGTGTGTGTGTGTGCGTGTGTGTGTGTTTTGAGAAGTGAGAGCTTCATGGTCTGTCTGTACGTGGCTCACTCACACTTCACAATTCCTCTCTGCTTCCTGTCATTCTCTTCCTCCATGTCTGTTCTTCCTTTACTGGTACACACACAGTAAATCATTCCAAGAGCTATACCCTACCATTTTTTTTTTTGTATGCTGCTGAAATTCATGTATCTTTGGCACTCAGAAACTGCTCTTAACTTTTTTGGTGGATCCCCTTTCAGGACATCCTTCTTCACAGAGATGTGACCACAAAAAAATACCTGAAAACCACCGGCCACAGTTTATGTTTGAGAAATAATTCAGAGGTCTTACCGTGAGGACAGGCTGGGTTTGCCGCTCTTGCTGCAGCTGGTGTAGATGCCCGGCCCATCGTCGAAGAAGCTGCCCAGAGCCAACTTCTGCCTGATCGACTCCCTCTCATTCTTTTGGGCCTGCAACAGAACATTAACAAGATAAGGTTACTCTTCATGGTCTTCTTGATAACCTTTCACAATAAGGTCAAGGTGGTACGGATTACAGTAGTTATCTTTATCAAAGATTCTTAAGCTTATGCTTGTTGTCATGGCACGTCAAACCAAGGTACTTATATATAGTTTACTGGCATGTTATTGACTAGCTGTAGAAGTTACCCCGCACATTCTGACAATCCAAATCTCACGTGGCTGTATATTTATAACAGCAGCCTGATCTTCATTTACAGTAAGAGCTTCAGTGTCACCCTAACAAGCTCAGTCAGCTGGAATACTGAAAAAAGGAAATGAAATATCTGAGTAGGGATCACCTCAAGTTGGTGTTACTAAAAGTCACAAGCAGGTGGTGCTGTTGTCTCAAAGAACAATCAGTGAGGGCTCTAATACCACACACACACACACACACACACACACACACACACACACACACACACACACACACACACACACACACACACACAAAGGAGGTCTCCTATTTTACATATGGTAAACTCCAGAGGAAGAGCCGTTTCACACATGCTTAAATCTGCGAGAATTCCAAAGTTACACAATTCCACGGTCGCTCTCGCTTGGCCTCCTCCCAATCCTGAATTCCTAACTTATCTTAGCTTCAGAATTTGGCAGCACTTCACACACGCTCACACACACACCAGTGCCCATAGGATGTCTTGTCTGTGCTGATAGCAGGTAAACACATCCAACTGAGGTGCAAACAAATAACAAGCGACTGTTTCTAATCAAATAGGAATGGGAGTTAAATTCTCTGAGGCACTTTCCATACATGCTTCTGCTGAACACAAGCATGCAAAATGAACACGACTTGTTAAGGACTTTTTTGTTAAAGATCAGACACACAGTCAGTCCAAACACTGCAGTGCTTTTGTCACTATACTCACGAAGCCTGAAGGACAGAAATAATGGGAAGTTTGAGAAGAGAGAATTTGACATGATTGCAGAGTTTGTTCTGCAGGGTTGGTTGTGTAGGGTTTAAAAATACTGTGCATCGACAACATTGCACTATATCCATTGAAAAATAAACTTAGGGTAATGTGAATATATTGTGACACCTCAGAGGGCCCTTTTCCCCAAAGCTGGGATCTACTGGTTTCAATACTTTCAGGGTGTATGAGGGGTTAAACCATTGGCCATTCACTATGTGTCCCCCTTACCCTATAGTTTTGCTTTGTGTCTCTACTTTCACTGTTTAGGTGGGAGAGCAATCCTTTCTCTATAAAATGTGTTCCTTTTCAATTATGGCCCCTCACCCCTTGCTCCCACATTCATCAATCTTCCTTTCTCCACTACTTCTCTTGCTCATTTTCTTTACCCACCTGATTAAACCTCCCTAGTCTTTATCTCTCTTCTTCATTATCCCAAACTCCACTGCTTCCATCTCCACTTCTTTCCATCCGCCTAAGGCCTTTCCTATTCTTCTATCTCTCTGCTGTTCGTTTTGTTCTTCCCTTGCTTATTACCACTGCAGCTCTCTCCCACTCGTTTTCTCAACTCCTTTCCCTCTCTCTCTGTCTGTCTCTCCTGAGTGCAGGCGTTGGTGAGAGTGCCTTCACCAAGGACAAATTAACATAATCCCACTCCACACAACAGCCCGCAAGACACACTTGGCACTGCCAGCACACACACTGGCACTGGACTGGACCTGGCACTGGTCCTTTGTGTGTGTGTGTGTGTGTGTGTGTGTGTGTGTGTGTGTGTGTGTGTGTGTGTTTGTTTGAAAGATAGCCTATTGAGTCAAGATGAACACACTTGAGGATTTCTATTAATTGCTTCAAAAGCTCAACAGCAGCCTGAATGGTACAGTGCAGCAGACACACATTTATGTACACGTACAGAACTCAACGACGACACAGCTAACACACTGTCAGTCACGTTACTCCACAGATCAGCTCCTCCGAGAAACAGCAGGTTCACCGAGAATTGTTTACAGTTTACTCCCCCCATAAGGTGAGTGCTGAGAAAAAAACTAAAATATGCAAAAGCTGAGGTAGAAGACATTCAGGAAGACTCAGGGGGTGTTTTGCCTCAGAATGCTGCAAATGGCCTTGTCACAAACTTTATAGCTCAACAAATGAATGCAAATGAATGCAAGACCACACACACACACACACACACACACGCACCCACAAGGCTACATTTTCAGCCAGTGACTAGAACTTGTTGATTTACTTCCAAACAGGTCATTAGGTTCAATAGCTTAAAGGGGATTTTAACTGCCATCACAAAATCCATGAACAGTAAGAGATAGTCTTGCATTTTCCATCCAATGATATGGTTGAGACTGTTTATACATAAAATATAAATGGTTTGAATGATGAAAACACTAATTTAAAATAAACAATATTTTCATTCACTGACCCTGGTAAGCTCATCAGTCCTCAAGAAAAACATACATATTGCTATCTTTGGATAATGTTTGAGATGTATTTATACAAACAACACAAGGACACACACTTGCACAAAGCTGCTGATGACATGCAGCCATAGAGCAATGTTCATCATTAGCGCTAAATACTAATCCTACTATTGATGCTTATTCTACCCAATTATATTATGTCACAAAATCAGGGTGACATTTATTAGATGTTATTGTATTTAGTCTATACAATGTTGATGACCAGTTCATCTTCCCATGATGACGTCAATAAATGTGTAGGTTTACCAATATCCACAACCTAAAATTACTTTTCACAATTATACCAAAAAATATATAAAACTAAGAAAAGCAGCTATTCTTAATAATGCTGTAGCAGTGATGTGCTATTTTTTTTTAACAGACTATCAATAACGCAATAATGATCAAAATAGTCAATTAATTTTCTAATGATCGGTTGTTTCAGCTCGGAGTCACAGCCTTATAGACTTAGTGACCAGAATGAAGTTTAGGCATAGTCAGGATGAAAAGTATTGTCACATGTGAAATCGACTGTAACGGCCCATCCACACAATAGCTTCAAAAAAAGCTTGGAGCTGGGCGTGTCTGAAGCTTGGGGATTTTATTCGAGCACCGCGACCAACAACCAATCACATGAATGTCTCGCCCCCGGCATACAAAGCAAAAAACCCCGGGGATTTTATGCGAGCAATATATATATATATTATATATAAACTCCCCAAACAGGCGAAAACCTA